TACAAACTGTCACAGCTCATTGGGCATTGTTTAATTACTGTATTGGCTTCCGTCAGGCCCTGTACTCTGTTTTACTGTACTACTATTAAGCAGGCCTTCGGTAATCTCGGATTACAGGCTGGTTACGGTGCTAAACCCATAGGGCCGGGTTTGGGTCGTGACATATAATTAAATAAAATTAGAATTAAAAGTTAAGAATTACAATAAATAATTAAAAATTTATAATTAAATGTGACTTAATTGAATTAATGTTAGATATTATAAATTATGTGTATGAAATGAGAAACCAAAAAATAAAAAAGGTATAGGTTTGAGGGTATTATAGTCATTTCATATTTACAGTTAACGATGTTAACGGTTGCACTTTAATCCAAAACTACATAAGAGCTTTCTAACTATATTTGAACAATGAAGGGTAAAGTGCTCTGGCCACACACTGCAAGAGGTAAAATGAATTTTGTCTTAAATTTTATTTTATTTTTTAACTATAACTTCTAAAAAATTTAATAAATAAAACATCAATAAAAATTAAATAAATTTATTTTATTTTTTGGTTGAAACTTTTAAATTTAATTTTATATTCCTAAGTGCAATACATAATATTAAAAAGAACATCAATCAAAATTACAAGTGTTAAAATTTGAATTAAATATGAAATAGAAAATTAAAACTTCCCAACACAATGGATTTATCAAATGTCCTAATGCAAATTAGAATTAGTTATCTGGCAACAATACAAATTCAAGTAGACCTATATCACAAGGAAATATTTTCAAAATTCAAAAAAAAAAAAAAAAAACTACTGTGATAAAAATAAACATCAAAATATTTAAATATTTAAAATTAGTTTTTATTTTCTTCACGAAACTAATTTTTTCTTTCTTAGAAAAAACTTCCGAAACAATTTTTTAAAAGCCAAACCAAATATGACCTAAATACTTGGATGGCAAAATTATATTTTTATTACCTAATAAGAATTAACAATCTGACCAGACTACCAATCTAGAGTCCAGATCCCCTCCTTGAGCCCCTCCTTCATTTCCTCCTTGCAGGGGCTTTCGGGTCCACTTTGAGGCCCAGTTTTAATAATCCGAACCGTTCATATTTTTAGATTTATTCAGTATATTATACCTGTAAAAAATCAAGTTGATCGGATATCAGAAAGTATGCGTTCAGAAAATTGAGACTACAAACTATTTTTTAATAAACAGTTTTCCGAGCACATACTTTATGATATTCGATTAACTTGATTTTTTACAGGTATGATATACTGAATAAATCTAAAAATATGAACGGTTTGGATTATCAAAATTGGGCCTCAAAGTGGGCCCGAAGGCCTTGCAAGGAGGAAATGAAGGACCAAAATGAAAGGGAGGATCCCAATTCACCAATCTAACCTATAAATTCCCAACCAACCAATAGATCTAATTTTTTCTTTCTTAGAAAAAACTTCCGAAACAATTTTTTAAAAGCCAAACCAAATATGACCTAAATACTTGGATGGCAAAATTATATTTTTATTACCTAATAAGAATTAACAATCTGATCAGACTACCAATCTAACCTATAAATTCCCAACCAACCAATAGATGACGTGATATATTAGACATGAAAAGTTCAGACTCACACTTCTATCTCACTGAATGGACAATGTTTTGTCCGGTCAACAAAGACAATAAGATTTTTCTAAGGTTGTATTTGAAATAGTAACCCTAGTGGCAGTGATTCTGACTTGGAAACGTAGCACAACCACATTAGAATGCATGGTGGTAGGACATGGTGACGTGGTGTTACGATTAAATTTTTAATGATTTAAAATAGTAAAATTTATCACATTTATTATAATTTATCACTTCTTCAATTCTCTCTTTGTTTTGGTAAATAGGAGTTGGATGCTGTTTAGGCCTGTGGAACATAATACAGGTCTGTTTCGATAATTGATTTATTCATTTTATAAGCTTTTTTTTTTTGTTTTTTTTTTTTTGTGTGTGTATCATGGAATCTACACAAAAAAAATAAAAATAAAATAAAAAATTAGATCCATCTGACGGTCATAGTCTATTCAATTTACACTTGTGTCAAAAAAATGACGGCAAATGTATTTTTAAAAATAGATAAAACAATAAATTGAATCACAATTATTACATTAATTAATTTTAATTTTAATTGTAATTTTATTTTTTTGTGAATAATATACAAAAAAATAAATAAAATTCAAATCATCGAAACAAGATATACAATGAACTCCTCGAGTTTAGACAACAGAGAAAAGCCTAGTCCTTGCTAATAATGTTTTTGCATATTTGGAACCACTATCTTAGGCCATTTTGGATAGTTTGATTCATTCATGTGTGTATAGATTATTCACAAATAAATAAAATAAAATAAATTCGATAATTGTAAGGATACTATTTCATTGTATTGGTTTTCAAATAAATGGAAAATGTATTTTTAAATGAGTAAATTATCAATAGGTCATAATAGTTAAACTTAATTCCCATCAAATGTTATTAAAAAATTTTTTAATAAAATTATCACTAAAAATAATTGCTATGATGATTTTTTTGTATGTCGCTAAAAATTGACAACTAGTGACTTTTTTTGTCATGATTTTATAAATTGTCTCAAAAACTTACAATTAGCAACTTTTTTTTTTCTGTGACGAATTTTTCAAATGGTCGCTGAAAGTTGAAAATTAATAACTTTTTTTTTTGACGATTTTTTTAAACTGTCTCTAAAATTTATAATTAGTGACTTTTTTGTGACAATTTTCAACCTGTTGTTGAAAATTAATTAGTTACGTTTGATAATAGTGCTTGATGAAAAACGCCATTAATTCTCACAGGACTTATTGAACAGTCTACCTATTAACACTTATACATAAGTCTCCCTTTTTAAATATATATTTTATTTTATTTTTTTAGAATAAATATTACAAAATTATCACTTTTAATTTCATTTCATAATTTCACACGACATGGCTCTATGCCCAACCAATCATATTTTGTCATTTTTTTATTTTATTATTACTGTTGCTATTTTTTTGAACCATGTAAAACATACCACCACTTTAAAATTTTTAGAAGACCGGATAATTATTCTTCGTATTTTAAATGACTCAAATTCTTTTAGTGATTCATCACGAATCATCCAATCAAATCCCTTAGGCTCAATGAGGGATCCAAAGGGGTTGTTTGGAGTGTCTTAAATAAGTGTATTTTTCGTCTATTTGAATTAAAAAGTTGAAAAAAAAATATAGATGTTTAAGTCAATTTTTTGATTTTTTACGAAAAAATATGTATTAAAAAATTATATAAATAAGTGTATACGAGAAGTTAGCGATGTAGCCCATACATTCTGGCAGAGCAGTGGGCGGATTGGATTAGGGGATAGGAAATAATTGCCTCCTTTTTGTGCTTGAATTGGACGGCGTTGTTCGGCCCTTGGAACCCCACCATGGGTCCCGTTTTGCTAATTGAAACCATCAATGTGTAGAATTCGTCAAGTACTGTATGCTTATAAAAAATTACGGTAATCGGATATCGATAGCTATCTGATCGTGTTAGTTTTTTTGTCAACTGTTAACTATAACACCATCCTTTTTTTATATAAAACTAATTTGATCATGTAGTTAGCGATATTCGATCAACGTGATTTTATACAAACGTATAGTACTCGACGAATTCTATACATTGACGGTTCAAATTATCAAAACGAGACCCGTGATTGGCTCCCACGGGTCGAACAACACAGTATTATTTGTGCACCCGCTTGTGCAATTTTTTCCAAAAAGACAGCCATGTCTGTGGGAAGCAAGCACTGGTTGTAATAATTAAGTGTAAAAATAATTTTTTTATATATATTTTTTAGTGAATAGTAATAACTTTTTAATTTTTTGAATAACTTTTTAATTTTTTGACTTTTTTTATATATACCAAGCCAGGCCTTTAACTGCATGATGGAAAATTATTCGGTAATCTTGAAGTAACACATGTCTGCACTGAAGGATTGTTTCCGATTTTAACAATTGGAGACAAGCTCTTTCCCCTAACAAAACACCCAATCAAGTGGTCTCTATTTTGAAAAATAGCAAGTTTATTATTATTATTTTTCACAGAAAACATTCAATAGTTTACGTGTACTTTGATAAAACTCAAAACCTATGTAGTAGAGATGTTTAAAAACTTATTTAAAAAACAAGTAAAAGGGTAGTTGGGAGAAGCGGTGACCGAAAGTGATAATCAATAGTCGAGATATGGTATCAAAAGTAGAGCACGTTACTAACTACCAAAGACATTGATCCAAAGATGTTGTTGGCCACATAATGTGGTTGATGCTAATAGAAAATGGTGGTAGGTTGCGACAAGCAAGTAGTCGTGGAAATTAGTTATCGATAGTTAGATATAGTGGTTGACCATCAAAGGTGATTTTTGATAAAAGGTGGTGGCCAAAAATGATTGTCATCAATAAGAGATAGTGGCTAGAGGAGATTGTCAAAAATTGTGATGTACATCCTTAAATATATTTTCAAACAAATCCTTAATAATAATAATAAATAAATAATATATATTTTTTTACATCTTAAAATACTGTCAAAAATTGACATTTGTAAATCATATTCATTTACTTTTGATTTGGCTAACTAAATTTCAATATACACAATAGATTGGAATTGCAACACTTTTGTCGTATTTGCTTTTTTTTTTTCTTTCTTCCCAAAAATTGAATTTAACATAATACATAATATAATAAATCCCATTTTTTAAAAAAAAATCCCGAAATATAAATAAAATTAGATATATATATATATATATATCATTTAAGGCCTCTAGCAATTTTTTTATTTTTTATTTTTTTACTTTTTTATTTTTTTTGTGTCAATAAGCAGAAAAACTTTATCAAATACATTTTTTTTTTTTTCTCAATATCTATATGATTTTTTTATTTTTTATTTTTTAATTTATGTCAATAGCTAACAAAGTAATTACAAATATGATAAATATTACAACTAAACTACTGGTCAAGAAAGTCAATAACTACTAAGCCCAACAAGCACCATACTAGGAAAGAAATAAAAGTCAAAGAATTCAAATTCATTTACCCGCAATTTCATATTACAAAATGGTGCCACACAGTAGGTAAAGACCACGGTTTAGTATCCATCTGATTGCAAACTTCATATGGATGCAAATGCAGGCATTGCAGGACGCGAAAACGAAATCCTGAAATTCGTCCCAGGATTTCCAGAGCTACGACTTGGTGACTTGCCTAGTGGAATCCTATTTGGGAACTTAGAATCAGCCTTTTCAATCATGCAACATAAAATGGGACAAGCATTGCCTAAAGCAACAGCTGTTCTAATAAACTCATTTGAGGAATTAGACCCAGAAATCAACAAAGATCTCAACTCCAAGTTTCTCAAATTCCTCAATGTTGGCCCCTTCAACCTCACATCACCGCCACGATTATCCAATTCAGACGACTATGGCTGCATATCATGGCTGGACAAGCGAAAACCCACCTCTGCGGCATACATTGGCTTTAGAACAGTGGCAAAACCGACACCTGATGAGTTGGTGGCACTAGCCGAAGCACTAGAAGCTAGCACTACTCCATTTCTTTGGTCGATGGAAGACAAATTGAAAGAGCATTTACCAGAAGGAATCTTGACACGAACAAGTGAGCAAGGAAAAATCGTGGCATGGGCACCTCAGGTACAAATTTTGGCACATATCTCAACCGGAGTTTTCATAACTCATTGTGGGTGGAACTCGGTGTTGGAGAGCATTGCAGCTGGTGTGCCGATAATCGGTAGGCCATTCTTTGGGGATCACCATATCAACACATGGATGCTGGAAAATGTATGGAAAATTGGTGTGAGAGTTGAGGGTGGAGTCTTCACAAAAAGTGGGACAATGGATGCCCTTGAAATAGTTTTGTCGCACGAAAGAGGGAGGAAACTAAAGGAGCAAATTGGATGTTTCAAAGAGCTGGCTCTCATGGCTGTTGGACCAAAGGGGAGCTCATCTCAAAATTTCAATACTTTGTTAGCGATGGTAACAAGTCTCAATCTTGGAAAATGCATGGAAGGACTATTTTGAAACACCACATATATATATATATATATATATATGAGGCATTTTCTTTGGCCACCAATAACCTTTTGTTATTGGGGCATTGTTATTATTTTACTCTGGGAATAAACTATTGTTACTGTATAAGTGGGGTTTTGTAATAATATTATCAATCATGGGGATAATCATAGGCATGAGGCTGCCACAGTGGAAAACTATCTGTGGATTTGTTAAAAGGAAAATGTTAAAAGAAATCCTTGTTGCTATTGAAAAATTGTGTAAAAACTATATTTAAATGTGTGAAGGTGATTTGAAATATATGAAAAATGTATTGAAATTATAAAAATTTTGATTTCATGCTTTTTATTGACAACTCTTAAAATTATCACACTACAAGAAAAGTCACTTTTGGCGACTAAATTTTTAGTCGCCAAAAGTCTGTTTTTAGTCGCCGAAAGTCGAAATTTGACTTTCCCCGACAAAATTCTTTAGTCGCCACATTTGTCGCGTATACGTTGTCGGCGTACGCATTGGCGACTAATATTTTTTTAGTCACCAAAAGACAGGTCTTTCGCGACTAAAATGCTAGTCGCCAATAGTGTTTTAGCCTTTTGAAAATCATACATTTACCGACTAATAATTTAGTCGCCAATACTCAATCAATCGCCGACTAAACGGCTTAGTCGCCAAAATCAAGTCGCCAAAGGTGTTCCATCGGAAAAAAAAAACCACTTTTTTTTTGGTTTTTCTGAGTTTCAAACCGTGCCCAACCATCGCACATTGCAAACTTTTTTGCAACACACTCCCTCCACTATGCCACTACAACATCACATGAATATATTTACAATATATATTATTTATATAATATATTGACAGTATTAATACAAAACAATATATATAAATATAATTATTTTAATTCAATATAATTTATGTAAAAAATAAATTATTTATTAAAAAAAATTTTAGGCCACTTTTGGCGACTAAATCCATTATTTAGTCGCCAATTCTATGATTTTTGGGCTACTAATTATTTTTTTGTCGGTAAAAAAACAAGTTGAAATTAAAAATAGTAGTTTTGGCGACTAAATCTGTTTTTAGTCGCCAAAAACGTGTCCTTTTGGCTACTAAACTGAATTTTAGTCGCCAATTCACTGTTTTTAGCTACTAATTTTTTTTTGTAGCCAAAAACCTTCATTTTCAGCGACTAATCTTTTTTTAGTCGGAAAAACACCTATAATCGGCGACTAAAATGTTTTTTAGTCGCCAAAACCATCACTTTTGGCTACTAAATTATTTTAGTCGCCAAAAACTGTCACTTTTGGCTACCAAAAAACCTTTAGTCACTAAAACCCCTACATTCTGCGACTAAACTGCCTTTTAGTCGCTAAAAGCCTCGTATTCGGCGACTGATTTTTCACAAAAAAGTGAGAAAATGTGCATTACGTGTAATTGATAACTCTCTCAACTTTGATTGTTAAACACACAGAAAAAATGGGTTAAAAAAAATTAAAAGGAAAAGCAAGGTTGTACACACCACATAAGACGGTAGATGTAGTACTATATAGTTTCAAAGGAAAATGTTACTGGAAAAAGTTGTTTTAAGTATGGTTCATTATAATGTTTACGAGCCATTTCTATTGTGTACCTCAATTATTAAAAAAATGCAGATATTTTTTAGCTCATAAATTATATTAATTTTTCACACTCAATGATTTGGTAATTAATTAGAATATCTAAGATAAATTTCTCTCATATTTTTTTTAATCATCAACTAATCATCTCATTTACACATTATTAAATTTGAAAAATAAATTTATATATTTTTTTTTTTTTTTTTTTTTTTTTTTTTTTTTGCATGTTGCAGATTTCTCTGTTAAACAATCATCTAAACCATTCTTATGCGTAAAATGATTATATATTGCTTAATGTTTGAGTAGATTTTTTTATTTTCTTTTTTTTTTTCTTTTTTTTTTTTTTGGGTTTTTCTTTATTGAGAGTAATTACAAATATAAAAAATATTACATCAAACAAACTATTATTCCAATAAAAACTAGTCCAACGACCAATCACCAAGGCCTTGTTTGTTTTCAGAGATAGAATTGAGGGAAACACTCAAAGTCTCACTGAAATAAAAATGCGAATAAAATTACAACTCAAAGGAGTTTTGTCAAACGGGATTGCCAAGAAATAAAACCTAACAAATATTACATCAAACAAACTATTATCCCAATAAAAACTAGTCCAACGACCAATCACCAAGGCCTTGTTTGTTTTCAGAGATAGAATTGAGGGGATTCATAGTGAGAGGATTAAGTAAAATAGTATTTGTTTTGATGATAGTTATTAGTGTAGGAATTGTTAAAGTATTTTTATATAAAATAATAAAACAAATAAAAAATATATAAAAAATTAAATATTAATATTTTAAAAAAATTCCCAATATATAAAAAATAAAAAAAATAAAAAAATTTCTAATCCCCTCACATTTTTCTAATACCACCTCCACTTCATCCATCCCAATCCCCCTTTCATCCATTACACCACAAAACAAACGAGGCCCAAGTCCAAACCCAACAAATACCATCAATTACATACAACCCATAATGGAAGAGAAATAAAATATTAGTTATTTATATGGAAACTCTCTAAACTACTAAAAAGTATCACTTTGACCTCCTAAACTATAAAAGCGTATAAATAAACCTCTTAAATTGTTGAGAAGTATTGTTTTATCCCTTAAACTATAAACAATAATGCTTGGGACCCCCTTTTGGGGGACCCCCTTTTGGGGGTCACCCCCTCACCCCCCTTTGCCACGTGGCGGGTGGTGATTGGAGGAGCAGGAAAAAAAAGAAAAAGAAAAAGAAAATGTAACCAATGAGAGAGAGAGAGGGGGTCAAAGGGGGTGGGAGGAAAAGGGGGGATGAATCATTGTTGAACTATAAAAACATACAAATAGACCTCCTACTGTATGGGTGTGTTTCACTTTAGCCATTTTCTTTAGAAGCTCCAATTGTATGCTTTTATAATTTATGGGTTCCATTTGTAAGCTTTTATAGTTTATGGGCAAAGTGATATTTTTTAATAGTTTAAGAAGTCTATTCGTACGCTTTCATAATTTAAGAGGTCAAAGTAATATTTATCAATAGTTTAGGAGGTCTTCATGTAAATAACAAAATAAATATCAAAATATTCTTCATATGAGTTGAATTCACAATCTTACACTACAAAGTGGTGTTACAGAGTAACTACTAAGCTATGACATAATTATTAACTAGTCGAATAGTTCGCAACTAAAACCACAGAAGGTTAAAACAACAATGCCATAAAGTCTTGTAACAAATCATACAACAAATCTTCATAATCAAAAAATCACAAGTTGGTATCTAATTATAAAACCAAACTATTGGATTAAACTGAACCGATTCGAATTGTGAATTTTTCGTTTCATTTACTCACCCCAGTTTGTAATTTGTCCTTAAAATTACTACTAGATGCTAATACTTCAATTCTCTCTCCCGTTATAAGTTTATTTATTTTAATATTTTTAAAAATAATGTCACAGAAATGGAACCTCTTTGTATCTATACAGCTTATTTGAAAAATTCGATTAGAGACACATTTTTTTAATCATATATTTTATCGCCCAATCGTATTGAGAGTAGGGTGCATACTACGATGTTGAACGCAAAATTCACTTCAAAGCTTTTGCGTTGGGTCTTTTGTGCTTCACTGTCTGTAATTCAATGGTCTAGTTGGTCTCGAGTCGAGTTGGATCTCGTCCGGTATATCACCTCACTTGTTTCAATAAATTAAACAGTTTATTTTATTAAATTTTATATATAAATTATTCATAGAAAAAATTCAGGTTGATTTAAGAGTAAATTGCACTTTACCTGTCAAAAATCATAGTGCTTTCCTGAAGTTTGATTTGTAACATAAAACCCACCTAAAATTATTACCAAAATGCAAAAGTGGATGGGAATAACAAAATACATAAAAAGACATAAAGTAACCCTTTTATTTTTCGTCATCTTCATTTTTATTTCCCTTTCTTCTTCTTACCACCATCGCCTTCCATGCAAAACTCAAAATCACCACTAGCACCGCCAACCAAAATCAGCACCAGTCTTCTCTCTAAATATAGTTCAAACTCACTTTCACCACCAATAGCATCACCACCACCACCACCACCACCACTTCTCTCACTAAAAATATTTCAAACGCACTTTTTCTTTATATATATATATATTCTTCATCGCACCATCACCACCCATTACCAACAAACACCATCACTACTTGCATTTGTTTTATGATTTAAATTAGTAACAAAATTAGTAACAAACCCAACCCATGGAGTCTGGACAATTAATGGAGTTTAAATGTCTAGTTCTTTGAAATAACCATCTCCAGTTTTTCCTTTCTCTGTTCTTCTGATTGAATTTCCATTTGCATCACCCTTTGCATCCACAGATTAACCACATCACTCTCCTTTCCCACCTCTTTGGTCGCAGCACCTCAGCTTCCCCACCTCGGCCATTGCAACCCCTCACCTCCCCCACCCTTACGGTCGCAGCTCCTCTTCTTCCCATCCACGACTAGTTTAGACTTCCCCTTGGCCCAATAGTACCCTTCAATCTAAAGCTCTTCTGTTTCAATAATAAGTTGGAGTTTTTATATGATTTTGGACTAAAATACAAATTAACACCGTTAATGACTTTATAAGTGTAGGAGCCGGATTTTATTAGATCCATAGGGACGGATGAGCGTGTCTGGTCCGAAACGTAACCTATATTCGGCATATACCCCAGCCAGTTAAGGAGCCGAATAAAATAACCAGTATCCCAGCCAATAGAACTGACGCCGAGTAGAGGTACATATGACGGAATAAGGATGGGCCCAGCCTAAAGGCCCAAAGAAAATGCTATAAATATAGGATCATCCATCAGAGAGTGGCAGGTGAGAATTGTTGTGCTTAATTTAGAATATAAGTAATCTTGAGTGTTGAGACTGACTTGTCCGTCAGAGTGCTAATTCTGGCACCCTCGACCGGAGTGTTTATTCCTTTGCAGGTGACTATCAGCGAATCACGAGCGTCCCCTAGGATCAGAAGAATATTTCCAAGCCACTTCTCCGCAATTGGGGCCATCTGTGGAAATACTCAAGCATATCCATGGCGGGCGTGATGGAGGACCCTCCAATAGTCACTGATGAAACCACGCAAAGAGACGACCTCACTCCACCAAACAGGCTTGGACCGGACACCATCCCCAT